AACAATGAAATATCAGAATCAGAAATCAGGAAAAAAAGTCCCATGTACTATAGCAACAAGAAAAATAAAGTGCCTAGGAATAAACCTAACCAAGGAGGTAAAAGACCTATACTCAGAAAACTACACAACACTGAAAAAAGAAATTAAGGAATACACAAATAAATGGAAGCATATTCTGTGTTCATGGATTGGAAGAATTAACATCATCAAAATGCCCATACTACCCAAAACAATTTATAGATTTAACATGATCTCTATTAAATTACCAATGATATATTTCACAGATATAGAACAAACATTTCAAAAACTTATATGGAACTATAAACAACCCCAAATAGCTGCAGCAATTTTGAGAATGGACAACAAACTAGGAGGGATCACAATACCTGACATCAAACTATATTGCAAGGCCACTGTAATCAAAAAAGTCTGGGACTGGCATAAGAACAGACACATAAATCAATGGAACAGGATAGAGCCCAGAAATAAACCCATGTCTCTATGGTCAATTAATATTTGACAAGGCAGGCAGAAGTATAAAATGGAGTAAAAATAGCCTCTTCAACAAATGGTGTTAGGAGATCTGGACGGCTACATGCCAAAAAAAAAAAAAAAAAAAAAACAAGACAAGAAAAGAAATTCTACCACCAACTTAGACCATACACAAATGCAAACTCAAGATGGATAAAAGACTTAAATATAAGTTGCAAAACCATAAAAGTCTTAGAGGAGAATGTAGGCAGGAAACTCTCCAATGTTCCATGCAGCAATATTTTCACCGATATGTCCCCTAGAGCAAGGGACGTAAAGGAAAAAAATAAACAAATGGGACTTCAAAATAAGAAGCTTTTGCCTGGCTAAAGAAAACATCAACAAAATGAAAAGGGAACTAACCATATGGAAAAATATATTTGCCAATGATACCTCGGACAAGGGTTTGATCTCTAAAATATATAAAGAACTCACATGACTCCACTCTAGGAAGACAAACAATTCAGTTAAAAAATGGGCAAAGGACCTGAACAGACACTTCTCCAAGGAGGACATACAGAAGGTCCAGAGACATATGAAAGGATGCTCAGTATCACTGGCCATCAGAGAAGTGCAAACTAAAACAACAATGAGATACTACTTCACATCAGTCAGAATACCCATCATAAACAAATCAATAAACAACAAGCGCTGGCGAGGTTGTGGAGAAAAGGGAACCCTAGTACACTGTTGGTGGAAATGCAGATTGGTGCACCCACTCACAGTATGGAATTTCCTCAAAAAACTACAAATGGAACTCCCTTTTGACTCAGCAATTCCACTTCTGGGAATCCTGAAACACCAATTCAAAAGAACCTATGCACCCCGATGTTGATAGCAGCACAATTTACAATAGGCAAGTGTTGGAAGCAACCTAAGTGCCCATCAATTAATGAGTGGACCAAAAACCTATGGTACATTTACACAATGGAATACTACACAGCAGAAAGAAGAACTCCTACCCTTTGCAACAGCATGGATGGAACTACAAAGCATTTTGCTAAGTGAAATAAGCCACGATGTGAAAGACAAATACCATATGATCTCACCTATAAGTGGAACCTAATCAACAAAACAAATAAGCAAGAAAAATATAACCAGCAACACTGAAAGAAAAAACAAACCAACAGTAACCAGAGGGGAAGAGGGAGGGGAGTAATGGGGAAAAGGAGGGGAAGGGTCAAGTCAAGGAACGTGTATGAAGGACCCATGGACAAAGCCAAAGTGGGGAAGTATTGAGGGTGGGAGGTGGGGGTGGGTGGTGGTGGTGGTAAAATGGAGACAAATGTATTTGAACAATAAGAAAACAAAACAAAATAACAAAAAACCCATAAACATTTGGCCTTGACTTAGCCATCTTACCTCCAAAAAGAAAATGAGCCCTGGGTGGTGTGGCTCAGTGGACTAAGTGCTGGCCTGTGAACAATAGAGTTGCTGGTTTGATTCCCAGTCAGGATACATGCTTGGGTTGTGGGCCAGGTCCCCAGCTGGGGACGTGCAAGAGGCAACCACACATAGATGTTTCTCTCTCTCTTTCTCCCTCCCTTCCCCTCTGTCTAAAATAAGTACAATTTTTTTTTTAAGAAGATAAAAATGGCAAGTTGAGCTATATCTGTAGCATCAGAGCTATACTGTCATCCACTGCCAGAGCATAAAATTTGAAATTAGCAGCTTTACTCTCCAAAATTCTTTCAACAGATTTTCCAGTGTCTTCAATTGCCTGGCTATAGTCTGGTGAGACAAACTAATTTTAGAAATATCCCCCTTTTTTTCAGGGCAAATTGCATTTGCCACTCTTTCTGTACATTGCTTAATAAACTCACCATCGGTAAATGGTTTTGATTTTTTTTGCTATTAAATATGATACCACGTAACTTGCTTTTTCAACGGCATCTGCCCGAATTGTAACTTTTTGAAAAAAATTTTATTGAGAAGACAGACTTTTTTGCAGTTCTGCTATTTTGTCCTTATGACACAATCCTTCATACGCATTGAATTTGGTAGCATGTTTTTGCATGTAATTCCTTTTCAAATTATAGTCTTTGAAAACTTGCACAAATTCTCCATAGACTAATCAGAGTGCCTTACTATTTGCCTCAACAAAAAAGTAGCCACCTGTTCACTTTTCATTGAATAATCTTCCTTCATCCATAATTTCTCTTTTTGGGGGTTCATTTTTCTTTTGAAATGTTCTAGAAGCCATGCTGGGCTTAAAAAAATAATAATAGATAAGGGATTTCACTTACTTTTATTATTTAGATTAATTGACAGGAAAATAGAAAGCAAGGTTTGCGCCCTTCCACCACCCTCTCGGCTGCTAACGCAGGGCGAGGCAGAGGGCCAGTTGTAAAGTGTGGCGGGTGGTGCATGAGGCACTGCCGAAGTGTGGAGGTACCTTTAATAATCAAATAAGAATGCTTACCTGACTTCTAAATAATATTAAACACCTAAAGTTGGAATGGTAGATTGAAATTTTTTTTTCAAAATACCTTGCTTTATTTTATTAGAAGTGAAAACTGAGGATCAGAGAGGTAAAGGGACCCATCCAAGGTCACAAAGCTCATGATGGGAAGAGGCGGGAAAAGAGGAGGAGTTGCTGACCTCTAGCCCTGCGCTCTCTCTGCAGTTCTTTAATGTGACCGTTGAGTCACAGAAACAAAAGCTGAGAGACAGGTTCTCTTAGACAATTGTCTGACAGTGCCTCTCAGGTGACGGAAATCACATTGAACACTTCAAGAAACATGTAACAGCTATCTGTGTTTAAACACTTCCCCATTAAAGTACACAAATCCACCCATGCACACTCATACATACATATGCACAGACATGCACCCTGCCCTCTTTTCAGGGCACCTTTTACTCTGTGAGTGAGTGCTTTACACAATCAACAACCTCAGGAACAAACTGTTACCACCTTCTGCTTCCTTTAAAATAATGCTGACTCCTGGAGTGAGGCCTGCAGTCCGAGTTAATCTCCGTCTTCCCCGAAGGGTGATCTCGTGGCTCCCAGCCTCCTCAGTCAGGCCATCCGCCTATTGAGGCTGGAGGCTGGAGGTGGGGGGCGGGTGCAGCGGAGCATAAGATTCCCGACAGAGCAATTCTTTGTCCCAGAGCTGAAAAGAGCCAGAGGAAGGTCCTTCTCCCCTCCCATTTTTTCTTTCATTATAAGGAAGCTCTGTGCATCAACAAATGGTATGTAATGCACATCAGTTTCTGTAATTACATAAACTTCTGTATTAGTTTTCTAGGGCTGCCATGACAAACTACCATACACTCAATGGCTTAAAACAACAGAAACTTATTTTCTCATAGAGTCTGAAATCAAGGTGTCGGTGGGGCGACGTTTCCTTCAAGGCCCTGGGAGAAGCTGTTCCGTGCCACTCTGCTCTCCTAGCTCCTTGTGATCCCCAGCAATCTTTGGCGTTGCTGCCTTGTAACCGCATCACTCCAATCTCGGCTTTGTGGTCTCACGGCCTCCTTCCCTCTCTGCGTGTCTCTGTTTCCAAATCGCTCTTTCCTTGTAAGGATGCCAGTCACCGATTATGCGGGCCACCCTAATTCGGTATGAGCTCATCTTAACTCGATTCCATCGGCAAAGACCCTATGGCCAAATAAGGTTGCATTCACAGGGATGGGGGCTAGGATTTCAACATATCGTTTTGGGCGTACAGTTCAACCTGCAAGAAGTAGAGCCCACACCTCTCGCTATTCCATTCTGTCAGTCACCAGCAGGAAGCAGCACCTTACACGCGCATGCGCTCCAGCCTTGGTGCGCTCCTGGGCAGAGCCCAAGTGCACGGGGCCAGTGAGGTGCCGGCTGTCCCGAATGAGGAAACACTCTCCTAGATACCTGCTCACTCTCCTAGTCTGCAGTGTTCTTGCACATGGTAGGCCTCCCACCCTATGTTTTTAAATGCATTCAATTTACATTCCCAACTTTGTTTTGCTATGTATCTTACATCCTGACTCCAACATGCTCTATAAGTGAAGTGTGTTTAGAGGGTCACTCGGCCATCAATAAGGACTTTTTTTAAAAAAGCCAGAAGGTAACTTCATATAAATAGGACCCTGAGACCTTCTGAGATGATGCAAAGGGAGAGTGTAGATGCCATGAAATAGTTCCCACCAGGTACTGGTTTTGAAAGAACACCTTCATTCCTAAAAGGCGTCTCAATGTCGTCTTTGTTCCCTTGATCTTATCTGCATGATCAGGATTGGGGCCATCACGTTGGGTAGTCCCTGAAATGGGGAATCTCCCTTCACTTTCGGAGTGCATATGGTGCACAGGGCACTTCTTCCTAACGTGAGATGCTAGCGTTCGTGCAGAAGGGAGGTTTCCATAGGACACTTTCAGTTGATCAGTATTGGCTTCGTTGCAGGGGCATTTTGGCTTCACACACCAACATCCATTTCAGCGGCGCCTGTCCCGAGAGCCCAGCTGGAGGCTGCAGGATGCCACGCGGGGGCTGTCACTCGAAGAGCTCCAGGTAGTCGGGGGTCTGGTCCTGCTGGCCGCAGGGGTACAGGAGGTGCTCCTTCCCCAGGGAGGTGATGGGTTCCTCCTTGTGATACCCCACCAGGTCCGCCAGGGTGGGGTGCTGCAGCTGGTCCACTCCCAGGAAGCTGTAGGAGTCGGTGGAGGCATCGATGAGGAAATGCTTACAGCCATCCTCCAACAGGTAGGACAGGATGTAGCCTTTGATCCTGTCACTGACTCGGACCAGAAAACTGCCTGGCTTGCACGTGCTCAGAAGTTCATTTGCTCTCTTTAGTGTGAGAATTCCATGGAACCAGGGAGCGATGGTGTCGGCTGTTTTCTCGTAGCCTGCTCGCAGAGGCAGCTGCTTCTCCTTAAACCATGGGACGATGTCCTCCTGCGCGGAGCCAGATTCTGTCCTTGTCAATCCCTGATTTCTAAAAGGCTTTTGGGGGTATTCTGCTGGGTTTAGGAATTTAGGCTTGGGTGGAGGGGGTCTCTTTGGTTTCCGTGAAACACTTGGGGGACTCTGCAGTCCCTCGCTGCTTCTTGCTTTTTGGGATAACCTCTTGTAATCTTCATGCACTTGTTTAGCCAGGGAGTGTCTCTTCTCATCGGCTGCTTTGGATTTTCGCAAACATGCCTGCCACTCCAAATCCTCTTTCCAGCTCTTATAAATCTGCTTCGTTCTCTCTTCACCTAGTTGTTTTATTTCTTCATCTGGTACTTTCTTCAAGGATTCTTTCTTCTGGTGAAATCCATATGCCTTCATACGATTGATAGAATCTGCCAACATTTGTTAAATATTTCTTGAGGAACTGGAAGGTGACGGAGTTTTCTCTTCTTTAAGGGGTGGTGCTGGTCTAGAGTCTGGCGCCAGTTCCTCCTCTTCTGCCACTTTCTTACAGATGTTCTGGGACTCCCAGGTATCTGGTGTTGGCAGATCACGGTAATGGGATTTATTGGTCAAGCTATTGGTGAATTCTTTGGACTGAGCTTTGCTGAGCTCTTCCGCTTCCTGCTGTGCTTTCAGGGCCCGCTCAGCAAGAATCTCATTACAGAGGACGTCGTAGGGCTTGTCGAGGTGGTGTTTGCCCATCACCCAGACCCAGACCTCCTTGTCGGCTCCCAGCTTCCAATGAACAGATTTGCTGTTCTCTTTCTTTGGTCTGGATTTCACTGGCAAGGACTCCTTTTTTTCCATTGCTGCTTCTCTTTCTTTCCATCGGCGGATCTGTTCCTCCCTCATCTTGAAGAATAGGATCTATTTCTGTTCTTCGCTGAGCTCTGCCAGCAGATCAGGATCTATGTACCTGAAATATTATTGATAATCGCTGCCTCACTAAGTCACCACGAGCACAAGTAACTCTGTTACTTGTCAATTCTACTGTCTGCGCTTGGAAGATAACACACTGGAAGCCACACACCACTGTAAAACTGAAGCCATGCATGTGTACAAATAGCCAGAGAATACATACATTTATTTTACATGACATTGTGACACATAATCACAAAAAAATGTCATATTTTAAGTAAATTTATGATTTTGTGTTGGGCCACATTCATCGCCATCCTGGGCCGCATGCAGCCTGCAGGCCACAGGTTGCACCTCCTGCTTTGCAACTTCCTAAATCCTCTAACAAGTAGCAGCTGGCCTCAGTGAAGCCCAGGCCCAGGACTGGCAGCAGCCAGCCTGTATGCACAGCTTGGCTTTGCCTGAGAATCTCTAAGCCCATCACAAGTAACAACCATCTCAGATTGCTTTATTTCTCAGGCAGGGTGGCCCTGGGAAAAACACAGGTTGGGCCAATCTTGGCCTGCACCACCCGGGAAACCCCAGGGCCAGCACACTCATTTGACAGCTGAGTCCATGTCAGGGCTCCTGCACAGCTGATCCTCCACAGAGGGTAGAAGTTGGTGATAAATGGTCACAGCCAATCCTTGCAGCTGACTGGCCTGGGCAAATCTCTCCCATTGATCTGCAACAACAACCAAGTCTCAACTACAAGAAGAGGGTGTACTCAGCCCACACTAAAGGTGCACTGTCAGTGCCCACCTTGAATGATAGGGGAGGCTGTGCCACTGGACCCTACAGGACACCTACTACATTAGGCCACACTATGAAGACATGGAATCAAAGCAACTCTACCTAATACATAGAAACAAACACAGGGAGGCTGCCAAAATGAGAAGACAAAGAAACATGGCCCTAATGAAAGAACAGGTCAAAGCTCCAGAAAGAGAGCTAACTGAAATGGAAATAAGCAGTCTATCAGATGCATAATTCAAAACACTGGGTATAAGGATGCTAAAAGAACTTAGCAAGGGCCTCAGAAGCATAAAAAAAGTCCAGTCAGAAATGAAGGATACACTAATTGAAATGAAGAACAATTTACAGGGAAACAACAGTAGAATGGATGAAGCTGAGAAATCAATGATTTGAAACATAAGGAAGCAAAAAACAACCAATCAGAACAACAGGAAGAAAAGAGAATTAAAAAAAAAAGGATAGTGTAAGCAGCCAATAGGACAACTTTAAGCAATCCAACATTCATTTCATAAGGGTGACAGAAGGAGAAGAGAAAGAGTAAGAAATTGGAAATCTATTAGAAAAAAAGTAATGAAAGAAAACTTCCCTAATTTGGTGAAGGAAATAGACATGCAAGTCCAGGATGGACAGAGAGTCCCAACAAGATGGATGCAAAGAGGCCCACCCGAAGACACATCATAGTGAAAATGCCAAAAATTAAAGATAAAGAGATGGTGCCCTGGCTGGTGTGGTTCAGTGGGTTGAATGCCGGCCTGCGAACCAAGGGGTTGACTGATTCCCAGTTGAAGCACATGCCTTGGTTGAGGGCCGGGCCCCTGATTGGGGGTGTGCAGGGGGTGGCCTCACATTGATGTTTCCCTCCTTTTTTCTCTCTCTCTTGTCCTCTCTGTAAAAATAAATAAATAAAATCTAAAAAAAATAGAGAGAGTGTGGGAGAATGGGTAATAGCTGAGGGAATTAAGAAGTACAAATAGGTAGTTACAGAATAACCATGGGGGTTTAAAGTATACCAGTATACAGTATAGGAAAGGGAGTAGCCAAAGAACTTACACATATGACCCATGGATATAAACAAGGATAGGGTGATTGCCTGAGGGAGTGGGAAGTGCTGGGTGGAGGGGAGCAAAGGGGGAAAAATCAGGACAACAGTAACAGCATAATCAATAAAATATAATAAAAAAAACTTACCAAAATTGTTGAATTTTTGTGTAGCCATTTTAATATTGAAGATGGAAGAAAATACACAACATTTTTGGCATATTATGCTTTATTATTTCAAGAAAGGTAAAAACGCAACTGAAACACAAACAAAGATTTGGGCAGTGTATGGAGAAAGTGCTGTGACTGATCAATTATGTCAAAAGTGGTTTGCGCTGGAAATCAACCTCAAGGGGAAACCTCAAAAACTTGCAAACTCATGGAGACTTAACAGCACACTTTTAAACAATGAATGGATCAATAATGAGATTAGAGAAGAAATCAAAAAGTTTCTGGAAACAAATGAAAATGAACATACAACAGTCCAAAACCTATGGGACACAGCAAAGGCAGTCCTGAGAGAGAAGTTCATAGCAATACAGGCCTACCTAAAAAAGATAAAAACATTTCAAATAAATGACCTAACACTACCACTTCAAGAACTGGAGAAACAACAACAAATAAATCCCAGAGCAAGTAGAAGGAAGGAAATAATCAAGATCAGAGTAGAATTGGATGACATAGAGACTAAAAGAACAATTCAAAGGATCAACGAATCCAGGAGCTGGTTCTTTGAAAAGATAAATAAAATCAACAAGCCTTTAAGCAGACTCATCAAGAAAAAAAGGTAGAGGACCCAAATAAATAATATCAGAAATGAAAGAAGAGAAATAACAACTGATACCACAGAAAGACAAAGGATTGTAAGAAACTACTATGAACATTTATATGCCAAGGAATTTGAAAACCTCAATGAAATGGACAAATTTCTAGAAAAGTATAATCTTCCAACACTGAATGAAGAAGGAGCAGAAAGTCTGAACAGACCAATTGGGGAAATTGAAGCAGTAGTCAAGAAACAGTTTCACAGGACAATTTTACAAAACATTTAAGGAAGGGCTAACCCCTGTCCTCAGACTATTAAAAAAAATCCAAGGTGAGGGAAGACTCCCAGACTCTTTTTATGAGGCCAGTATCACTCTAATCCCAAAACCAAATAAAGACCTTACAAAGAGAGAAAACTACAGGCCAATATCGCTGATGAACATAGGCGCTAAAATCCTCAACAAAATATTGGCAAACCACATCCAGCAATATATTAAAAAGATCATCCACCATGATCAAGTGGGATTCATCCCACTTGGGGGATGCAAGGATGGTTCAATATATGCAAATCAATAAATGTAATACATCACATAAACAAAAGGAAAGACAAAAACCATATGACTATCTTGATAGATGCAGAAAAAGCATTCGGTAAGGTATAGCACCTATTTATGATCAAAGCACTCAGCAAAATAGGGATAAATGGCGTACACCTCAATGTAATAAAGGCCATATATGAAAAACCTACAGCCAACATCATACTAAACAGGCAAAAACTAAAATCTTTCCCACTAAGATCGGGGACAAGACAAGGATGCCCACTTTCACCACTTCTATTCAACATAGTATTGGAAGTCCTAGCCACAGCGGTCAGACAAGAAAAAGAAATAAAAGGCATCCAAATTGGAAAGGAGGAAGTAAAACTCTCACTGTTTGCCGATGACATGAGAGTGTACATAGAAAACCCTGTAGACTCCACCAAAAAACTACTCAATCTAATAAGTGAATTTGGCAAAACAGCAGGATACAAAGTCAATATTCAGAAATCAAAGGCATTTTTGTATACCAGCAGTGAAATAGAAGAAGAAATCAGGGGGAAAAAAATACCATTCGATATAGCAAGAAGAAAAATAAAGTACCTAGGAATAAATTTAACCAAGGAGATAAGAGACTTGTACGCAGAAAACTATACAACGCTGAAGAAAGAAATTAAGGAAGACACAAATAAATGAAAGCATATACCATGTTCATGGATTGGAAGAATTAACATAATCAAAATGTCCATACTACCCAAAGTAATTTATAGATTCAACACAATCCCTATTAAAATACCAATGATGTATTTCACAGAAATAGAACAGACATCTCAAAAATTTATATGGAACCATAAACGACCCCAAATAGCTGCAACAATTTTTAGAAAGAAAAACAAAGTAGGAGAGATCACAATACTGGCCATCAAACTATATTACAAAGCCACTATAATCAAAACAATCTGGTACTGGCACAAGAACAGACCCATATACCAGTGGAACAGAATAGAAAGCCCAGAAATAAGCCCAGGTCTCTATGGTCAATTAATATTTGATGAAGGGGGCAGAAGTATAAAGTGGAGTAAAAATAGCCTCTTCAACAAATGGTGTTGGGAGAGCTGGACGGCTACATGAAAAAAATTGAAATTGGATCATCAGCTGACACCATACACAAAAATAAACTCAAGATGGATAAAAGACTCAAATATAAGTCGCAATACCATAAAAATCCTAGAGGAGAACATTGGCAGGAAACTCAGATATCCCACACAGCAATATTTTCACAGATATGTCCCCTAAAGCAAGGGACATAAAGGAAAGAATAAACAAGTGGGACCTCATCAAAATAAGAAGCTTCTGCATGGCTAAAGAAAACATCAGCAAAATGAGAAGGGAGCCACCCGTATGGGAAAATATATTTACTAATGATATATCAGATAGAGGTTTGATTTCCAAAATATATAGAGAACTCACGCAACTCCACTCCAAGAAGACAAATGATCCAATTAAGAAATGGGCAAAGGATCTGGGCAGACACTTTTCCAAGGAAGAGATACAGAGGGCCCAGAGACATTTGAAAGGATGCTCAGCATCACTAGCCATCAGAGAAATGCAAATTAAAACCACAATGAGATGCAACATCACACTGATCAGAATGGCCATCATAAACAGATCAACAAACAACATGTGCTGGCGAGGCTGTGGAGAAAAGGGAACCCTGGTACATTGTTGGGAATGCAGACTGGTGCAGCCATTGTGGAAAACTGTGGAATTTCCTCAAAAAGCTAAAAATGGAACTGCCTTTTGATCCAGTGATTTCCTTGCTGGGACTATACCCTAAGAACACCAAAAGGCCAATTCAAAAGAACCTATGCACTCCAA